CCTTCGCCTCCACCGCATCTGCTCCCAGGATGAGGCATTCCACTCCCATACATCTCAGATGTCCTCGTTTTTCAAGGACCGCAACTGCCCCGTCAGTGGTCGAGAACGCCCTTGACCGTGTCTCCCGCATTTCCCGCAACTCATCCCTCACATCCCCTCCCCGCAATAACAACCAGAACAGAATCCCCCTCGTCCTCACGTACCACTCCACCAACCTCTGGATCCAACGCATCATCCTCCGACACTTCCGCCATCTGCAATCCGACCCCACCACCAAAGACATTTTTCCCTCCCCACCCTTATCTGCCTTCCGGAGGGACCACTCTCTCCGTGAATCCCTTGTCCGCTCCACACTCACGTCCAGCCCTACCTCACCAGGCACTTTTCCCTGCAACCGCAGGAAGTGCTACACCTGCCCCTACACCCCCCCCCCCCCCCCTCACCCCCATCCCAGGCCCAAACTCTCCACATCAAGCAGATGTTCACCTGCACATCTGCTAATGTGGTATACTGCATCTGCTGTTCCCGTTGTGGCCTCCTCTACATCGGGGAAACCAAGCGGAGGCTGGGGGTCCGCCTTGCAGAACACCTATGCTTGGTTCGCACTAAATAACTGCACCTCCCAGTCGCGAACCATTTCAACTCCCCCTCCCATTCCGCAGACGACATGTCCATCCTGGGCCTCCTGCAGTGCCACAATGATGCTACCCGAAGGTTTCAGGAACAGCAACTCATATTCTGCTTGGGAACCCTGCAGCCCAATGGTATCAATGTGGACTTCACAAGCTTCAAAATCTCCCCTCCCCCTACCGCATCCCAAAACCAGCCCAGCTCATCCCAGCCTCCCTAACCTGTCCTTCTCCCACCTATCCCCTCCTCCCACCTCAAGCCTCATCCCCATCTCCTACCTACTAACCTCATCCCGCCCCCTTGACCTGTCCGTCCTCCCTACCTCCCCACCTACACTCACGTTTACTGGCTCCAGCCCCGCCTCTTTGACCTGTCTGTTTCCTCTCCACCTATCTTCCCCTCTATCCATCTTCTATCCGCCTCCCCCTCTCTCCCTATTTATTTCAGAAACCCCTTCCCCTCCCCAATTTCTGAAGAAGGGTCTAGGTCCGAAACATCAGCGTTCCTGCTCCTCTGATGCTGCTTGGCCTGCTGTGTTCATCCAGCTCTACACCTTGTTAAACAATTTTACTGTTGATTTCACATAGAGTTATCAGACTTGGTGTACTTCGGTAAACCCTAGTGCAGCTATACCAGTTCATTAATAATTCAATGCAAGAAACCATCAAATTAAGCTGTTATTTCCAATGAATAGAGTTGGTCCTGTAGTCAGTACAGGTATGAAATTGCCACTGTCAGATTTAACCTTGGGCAACTAATTTACATATTAGTTTAGCAATATGTTCAGTGTCCTCTGTAACAATGTGGTTGAAAAGCAGCAGAAACTCCTACAGCACGAATGGATTCACTTCTGCAACCCCAATATGTGCCAAGTTAGAAGAGATTAAGAAATGCTTTTTAAACTCTTCATCAAGTTCAGTAGGGATACTGATAACATGTTAAATCAGTTACCATATCTGCTGCAGGTCCATCAATAGAGACCTTATCATAACTGGAAATAGCCTGTCCCATGCCGTCCATGGAAATATTTTGTTACCTTGTACTCCCGAATGTCAAGAACAGCATATGCGTGCGTCGGTACCAGTCCCCATCGCTCTCCTTCTTCCTCACTCATAATGCCAGTTGCTGTAGTAATCAGAACATCTCCCTTGTGAAATCTATTGGATTTGGACACAGAAAAACAATCTTCAATGTGCTGATTGAAACTCTTCAAAAACTTTTAGTGATACTTCAATGTGATCTTAGGTTACCTTTGATATAGCATTTTGAAAGTGCCCTCATAATCAAACTTCTGATTGTCTGAATGCATCGCAATTCGCTCAGGTATCCAGCCAGTTAAAGCATGGAGATCGATGTTCTGCAGCATTTAGCAAAAAACACAATTTTACAGATTAGGGTTAAGGCCAAAGCTGAAACAGTCAAACACACTAAGGATTTCAAACCTGATGCTATTGGTCAGGTCATATGATTCCAAAAACAATTATGCTTTAATTTGATCTCTTAAACTGCACTACTCCGGAACATGAAATAAAATATTATGGTGTTTGAGAACATCAAAACCAATTTAAAAATAGAGGATCAAGTACTTGACCTACAGTCATGGTTCACACTGAAGTCAAGGCTCTTGCCTGACTTATTAGAATAGACCATGGGGTTCTGCTTCAAACAACTTTCATCACTGGAAGGATTGTGGAACAAGTTGCTTTCAGGTTCAAGAATTCTGGATTGCACAGCCAAGGTACCTCCAAAGAATTCTTCTAGCAAACTAGAGAAAACTGGTTATTTGAGATTGAGATCGAACAGACAGCGCAAAGTAGATTTACACCCTTCAATTTTAATTGAAATAATAAGCAGGTTTAGTCACTGTCCAACAATATCAATAAATAAAGACTAGATAATTTGATTATTTAACAAGTTACAGCTTTTTAGTATCAACAGGTAGATAACATAGAAAAGTTAAAATTACTACTTCATCTCCTACCATTCTGCTACTGTCACTGATTTAAGAATATATCTTCAGTCCTGCATAAAACAAACTATTTCTCTCACTTCTATTAATGTACATCTGTTCAACTCCCACTATCCAATTATTTGTCGTTATTATTTATTTCTTCTCTCTTTCTATGGCTTTTACACTCTCTTCATGCCATTACTCTAATTTTTTCTCAGTTTGACGTCATCATTTCTTCTGCTCTTTGTGCACGCTTTCTAGACAACTCCCAAACTGACACACACTTTTCACGGACATCATGCAAATTCTGCATTTTTTTTGCAGGTATTTTGCACTCTCCATTTCCACTGACTGTCAGCAAAAAAAAAACCCCGTTGCACAGCCTAAGTGTGAACAAAGTTACTGCCTAATCCCACATTTAACACATCCTCAGCTCCATTCATTGACACCATAAATTAAAGTCTGAGTTCAAGTACCTTTAGTGGAAATGGCAACTGCTAACTTTTAACATATGCAGGAAGTTGTGTTTCCTACAGTACAACAGTGCCTGTGCTTTAAAAACTTTTGAAATCATGAAGGCGCCATACAATGGAATTTTTCTACAAAGCAAATTACTAGCACTTCACATCACTTAATGACCAAAACAGAAATGTTGGAGTGAGCTGACAGCAGCTATAAATTGAGCAAGTTATCCCAGAAAAATGTATTTAATTTACTTACTCAATGCAGTTGCAGGTATGTTTGAAATTAGTTTGTCTGTAATAAAGCAATTTCACAGCATCATCTCAGTAATAAAGACACCATTGGCTCTCACAGCACCAGTATTACCAGAAGATTTAATACTTACAAATTAATACTTACAGAATTGGAGCCTGGAAAATCATATCCTCCCATAACCTTCATGTAGGCCTTTTCAATCAAAGAGACCCAAAGTTCATTTTTGTTATTGGAGTACGAACACAGCAGGTCACCATTGTAATCCACAGGCAAATAGTCATCAATGACCACCTATTCAAAAGCAAAATTGAAAAAAAGAAACAACTGGTCTTCAGTACAAGGTTTATGGCAGGCCAAATCATCCTAAACACAGACAATTACCAGGCAGTGCATGGCTGTAAACATGTGAAAGACAGTTTGCCAGCAAAACAGATCCATTAGAAACTTAATCCAGATGCACAAGTTTTAGTTGATAAATCTACTTGCAAAGATGTGTAGTAGAGCAATGTACTAGGCTATAAGATTGACAGCATCATATTGGTGCAGACTGGTTCCTGCATTTCTGATTAGCACTGCATGTTGGGACTGGTAACAATGAACCCCTCCTGGTTTGTTTAAATATCTATGTACTAATCCAGGGAGACAATGACCAATACACGATCAAGATGAGATAGCACAAGTTCTCCAGCATTTAGGGAGCATTCACCAACATCGGCGGTGGCGGTGTAACAAATTTGTTCGACCATAAATCCATTAGTGAGATCGCAAACTGTGTAGCAGCATTCTACAATGGACTGGGAAGGAATTAGAAATTTGCATTAACATTAGAAATTGACCATATGGTATCATTAACATAGTTTATATCCTACCAACACCAGACAGAAGGAATCACTTACAAGGATGCAGCTATTGGGCAAGACTGAAAAGGCTGAGCTCTTTTCTTTTCCAGATGAAAAATTGCAAGGTGATTAATACAGTTCTTTAAAATTATGAAGGGATTCAATAGGGTAAGCATAGGTAAGATGTATCCACTCATGTAGGAATTATAAGCTAGGGATATAAATATAAGACCATTACTGATAAATCCAATAGGGATGTCAGGAGAAACCGCTTTCATTACAGAGTGGTCAGAATGTGGTAATTCTTATTGCCCATTGTGAACTTTGAAGTGAAAAGCATAAATGCATTCAAAGGAGAGTTGGACAAATACTGAGGGAAAGGTGAATAGAACAGCATCCCAATAGGATTAAATTAAAAGAAATATAGAGCATAAACACCAGCATGGAAAAGTGTGCATTGCTCAAGGGTCCCAGCTGAATCCAAAATCTTTTCTGTGAAAGTTTCTCAGCATAATATTGCATTTTTTTTTTTTAAGAAACAAGTTTACAGGGTTGTGAATGATGGAATGTGGAAGATGAAAGAAAAAAAAATCAAATCAAAAACATGGATGCACAGAAAACAAAATTAGGGTGAACCCCTCCCCCTCAAAAAAATATAAAATTAGAAAAAGAGAATAACTGTTCTTATTAACTAGAAATAGTAGTTATATTTGTCAAATTGGATCAAAAACTCGGAACCCCTTTCTTAACAGCACCGTGAAATTCAGTGGTCAGCACCACCTTCTCCAGGGCAGTTAGGTCTGGGTAATAAATACAGACCTAGCCAGTGATGCCCACATGCCAAGAATAAATCGAAAACTGTTAAGAATTCTTTATGCACTGATCCTTTAATGCTGGACCATTGATAATTTAATTAAATTTTGCTTTTAAATCTTTAAGGAATTTTAAACTGATTTGCACAGCTGTTAAAAACTATATTTTGTTACGAAGACACTTACATTTGTTGGTATTTAAGGAATCAGGTCTTAAGGATTATGAAAACGTTCTCATTTGAAGCAGTAAATAGATACCTAGACCAGTTTTCTTTTAAAAAGGTCACTGAAGACACATGGTGAACACATTTATTGAAAAGCTTGAAGTTGTTTTCTGGAAGACACATGTTTAAGTCTATGGTTGCCAGAAGTGGGGGTATTTGGGGTTCAGCTGGGGCAGAGGTTACAAAAACAGCTTTTACCAACTTTGTGAAGGACCCTCATAAGGATCCCATGAGAGCCAAAGATAACTAAATCAGTTTTTCTTCATGCCAGGCTGTTAGAAAAGTTTGTGACATCTCCTGAAGTTACTGCTTATTTTGAACAGTGACAACATGTGTACAAGGATACCAGACTAAAAGCAATCTAGAAAATTTCATTTTAACAGATCAATAATTTTGTTGTTTATTAGAGAAACCTGAATGATGGATCTTTTTATTAGGAATCTAATATAGATCAAGTAAACAATTGGCCAACTTAGTATCTGAGTAACACATGTGAAAATCAATGTTGCACAAGGGAGATTATGGAACCACACAGGCTAGTAAAAAAACTCCAACTTCAATCATAAAATTTGCAAGCTGACTTTCATCTATTGCCACTATAGAAATACAAAATATCTACTTGCCTCGTTAAACTGGAGAATTAAGTCATACAGAAAAAGGTCTCACGCTTGATCTCTGATTATGTGTTGAGTTAGCTAGCTGTAGATGACTTTGCCCAGCAATTGGAGTGTGGGATATGAGATTGGAGAGAAAAAGCTTAGCTTTATCCTGATCATTAACTGATGATTGAGTCAATGTGAGTCTAGCTTTACGTAAAAGGATTAGATTGTTGTACAACAATCAGAAGGGTGCAAGAAAATCCAGAGTTGATACATTCCAAATGCAAGAAAGGGAGGGAAAGAAAAAGAGAGAAACAATTCCTTGTGACTTGGTTTAACAGTCAAGAGTGTGGAGAAAGGCTTACCTTTCTGGGAACACCATTGATGTGTAGTTTCACCATGTATTTCCCACAGGGATTATACTCTGGCTCACCCTTCCTATTCTGAGGATAAATAATGCTGCAAATCAAAATTAAAAAAAAAATCAAACACAGATGCTGAGTATACAACTTTTAAGGTAGCATGTGTTCAGCACCATTATCTTTTCTTTGCGTAAGGTCTTTTGACACCAGGTACATTCCCTGTATGAGGCTAACTGTCTCCTAGGTATCTCCTAATCTTATTCTGCAACTAACTGTTAATGGGAATTTGGGAGCAGTTTGGAATCATTCCCTGAATTTTGCTTCCATGAAGGATATGCCCAACTTCTACTCAACACCCCTATTCAATCCTTGTACTGAAACGTGGGACTAAGTAAATGCAGAACAACAGGTACAAATCTACACTGTAACCCTATGTGGCACTATTGGCTGTTGTACGTCACTAATATTTTATAAATCGTTGCATCTTCCACCGTGATCCATCATTTACAACTGGTGCTGTATGGTGGGTAAGACATTCAAAATATCTCTGCTTTTCTATCTACATGCTTGCAGCAACATGCACCATGTAATGTCCATTAGCACAGAAGGTAGTCCATAGGAATGTTAAGACATTGAGATGTAGAAGGACAAATTTGGACATGTGACCAATTACAACAGATCTGTTAAAAGCACTTCTTTAAAATATAATCATGCAAGAAAATACTTGAATACCTCGTGATCAACTTTTTATTGTAACGTCTTTCATACGCAGCCCCGATGGCTAGAGAGGCCACAAAGGAACAGTCTGATACCACAGTCTGAAAATGAGTGTTTTAAAGATTAATCAATATCTATTTACATTCTTTGAATTGATAAACAGTCAGCCAGCAGCACCATCATTGAATGCATTACAAGACCGAGAAAGAATGATCCTCAGTTGCGGATTATGCTTTCCAATGCACCACATTCAGAAGGCAGCTGTTTCATGCTGTAGCATTTGAATTTTTACATCTACTATTACAGAACTATTACAAAACCTACAAAGACAGGGCAACTGGAGAACCTGTCACACATCATTCATAAAGGCAAGCAGGCAAAACTACACTGGCATTTTCAAAAACATTTGGACTTTCTGGGCATAAAAGCAAAGCAGATCATTCTAGTCTGCTGTGCCATTAGATTAGACCATGACTGATCTCAATCTGAAATTCATTTCCCTGCTTCGGTTTGGTATCTCAAAAAGGTGTTTATTTGGCAAACATCTATCACTTATAGTTTGAAACTATAACAAGAAACTATACTACAACTATAAACTATAAATGCCCAGCATCCACAACTTTCTCAGGGAGAAGAGAATTTCCAGCATTGATAGATTTGCTCAGTTAGTAACACCAAAAATAGGACATTTGGCTCCTCAAGGCTGCTCCATCATTCAACAAGATCGTTGCTGATCTTCTACTTCAATGCCATTTTCCCCACATCCTTTGATAATGTTATGATCTAGAAATCTATCATTCTCGGTCTTGAATACACCCAATGACAACCTCCACAGCCCACTGTGGTAGACTTCCATGGATTCACCACCCTTTCAGCAAAGGAATTCTTTTGTTAGAAATCAGACTAAATGGAATTGGTGACAACACCCTTCCAAAATCTGATATTGACATTTAAACAACTAAAAGTGAACAGACAAAGCTGACCTTTAAAAATACTGACCTGTTTTATACTAAAGCTAGATACAGTATAGATCATTGTAGGGTTGTTGCAGAAGTCATCTGGTCGTACCCACCGGGAAAATAACGCTTTCTGCTTTGGTGATAATACCAGCTTGCCTGCTTTATCCCTGGGGAAAAAAAAAGAAGAGAGGACTTTAAAAAGCCAGCAGATCTCTCTGGCCAGCCAATGGGCTGAAAAGGTGGTCATTTTTGGGGATAGAGTTGAGGATGGAATTTAAGACAATGGCTCAGACAAAGTTGATGTCAAGCTAAGACTCTGCAGACAGAGACTCAATGTGGACATGGTGGATTGATTTATGGAAGAAAATCAAAACTTTCAAAAAGGTTAAATACGGACTAGCCAGAGACCAGAGTGCATGCAAAGGTGAATGTAAACTTCCAATCTGAGTGCAAGTCTTGAGGGGGCCTGGGCCTGTTTACATCATAATTTACCCAAATCATCTGGTTACAACAGTTGTTAAATATAAAGAACATCTGGTCAAAAAATTTGATAGCTTGATGAAGGTGAACAGTTTGGAAAATCTTGGTTTCAGACCGCCAAACTGACAGTAATCACTTTAGAAAACAAAAAAACCCATTGTTTTGCAGCAGGAGCAAAGTCTGGTGTTTAATACCTGCGCGGAGACAGAATAAACACTCCCTCATTTTCTATAAATATAAATCTCCCATGATATTACTCATGGCAAGCCAGATAATAAACTGTTTTGAAGCACAGAAGTTCCATAAAATTCAGCCTTGAGTCAACGGTAGCACCCCCGCCTAAGTCAAGATTGTAAATTCAAGCCGATTCCAGAGATTTTGCATTATCCTTAAAAACAGACATTTCAAGACAGTACTGAAGAAATGCTACAACTTCAGACAGCAAAGGTTCTATATGAGATATTGAAGAACAGCAGGAGTATTTTTCCCTTAACCAACATCAACAAATTATCCGTCTATTATTCTCACTGCTGTTGTTAGGATCTTGTTATGTGCGTATTGATTGCAATGTTTCTTATAATAGTGACAACATTGCAAAAACATTTAACAGGTCCTGTGGCTGCAAAAGTGCCAAGTGAATGCAACTTTCTTTCCTTCTTTCATGTGATATATAGCATATTGTTTCTGCTAAGACAGAACACATATTGCCTGCAGCAGGAATAAAAACTAAGTAAATACTCAACAGCTTTCAATAGCCCAGGTTTCCAACCTGTTTTTACAGGGAAGTAGTGATTGAAAAAAAACGATTAGTTCGGTATTGTAATTTTTTGGCATTCATCAGCTAGAGTGCATCTAAAGAATTATTTATTTAAACAATGGAAATCTTCAGTTACATGATTGGATTTGTAAAATAATACACTATTTTCCTCATTTTAACTTTAGCGGATTCCAAAACTTCAACATTGAATCTTCATGTCAAAGTTGAAGTGTCTCATGATTTTCACTATAATAATAAATGGAATTAGCCTTTCTAGATTCATTGACACGTGGCATCACAAAGAAAAACCATATAGGTCGACTAAGTATAAAAACAGCATTCTTCATCCCAAATTTGTAATGACACACTGCAAAGACTGAAAAAAAAAGTAGAATTCCCTTATATATACTGAATGTTGCAAAATTCAGAGCTCTTGGATTTCCAAAAGTAAGTTTTACATCAGAAAGATAAACTTACGAAAAGGGCATCGGAAATGCAAATCGCTCTTTGAGATCCACAGTCATGAAAGGCACATATTCAATTCCATTGATCTTAGAAGTTTTTCTGAAAGAAAATCAATTGGTAAACATCAAAACCAAAGGGTAATATTTAAATAATGCATAGGTTCAAACATTATCATTTCTCCTAAAGCTACAGTAACAAATACATCAAAAAAATAATTTACTGCAACAAAAAACCTGAAGACTGACGCACTCTAAAAAGAATTACTCCATTTGACTGCACAAACATATAGCACAGCATCAGTCAAGAAATTTAAAATTGCGAGTACCTGTACCCATTGAAAGTATGAAGACTTAAAGTAAGACCAATTACGTGGGGCTGTGTTATGCACAAATTGGTTGGTGTGATTCCGGTGTTACAACAGTGGTTACACTTTTAAACATTCTTCACTGGTTCTTACATGTTTTGGGATGCCTTGAGACCACAAAGAATGCTATATAGAATGAATGCATTTCATTCTAATCATAAAATACTGCCCGAGGTCAGTACTGTACACAGATGACTTTAAGAGGTTCTCACCGTAGCACCTCAATTTCCTCTGGTGAGTAAAGTTGGCCATGGGATGACTGTTCACTGCCCTGAACTCTAGATATAAGTGGTTTATCATTCAGCGTAAAATCCGATCCCAGCGGGTGGAAGGCTCGAACTGGCTGACTTGGTTTCCCCACACTGTGCTTCTTTTCTGCAGGAATTTTGGGTGCAGAGTCTTTTAATGCTTCAGCTCTAGATGGGAAATAAAATGAAAAAAAAAATCAGAAGGCAAAGTTACAAAAAAAAAGCTTAAGCAACTCCCAAACTCATGTTGCCCACCTCTTAGCACAAGGACACAGGTTAATAGGAACATCATCTTCAATTTTCCCTTCAACTCTCACATAACCCAATTTAGAAGTATATTGCTATTCCTTTAAGATTACTGGGTTAAAATCCCAGACCTCCCACATTAGCAGGTCTGACAGGGAACCTTCACCACATTATTGCAGCTATTCATAAGACAACTCATCACAATTACTTCCCATTCCAAATTACCTGTGACATAAGAGCAAACAATGTTTATATCCCCAACATGAATAAATATTCCAGCAGTGCCTCATAGCACAGCAGTCTTGTTGGAGTTCAAGGTTCACTCCACAAATCTAGACTGACACTTCAATCCAGTACTGCTGGAGCGCTAAACTGGCAGAGGTGCTGTCTTCTAGCATGGACATGTAACAGATCCCCAGCTGCACCCTCAATAAGAAAAAAGATTTCGCAGTCCTGGCCAATATGTTGTACCTTTGTTTCAAACGGGAATGAAGGATAGACCAAATCATTTCAGGCCAGTAATGGGCAAATTATTGAAATCAATCTGAAAGACATGATAAACCATCACTTAGAAAGGTACAGATTAATCAAGATAGCCAGCATAGAATTTTTGGGAGAAGTTAATGTCTGATGAACTTGATTGAATCTTTTGGAGGAGGTAACAGGGAGGATTGATGAGGACAGTGCAGTTGAAGTGGTCTACATGGACTTTAGCAAGGAATTTGATGAGGTTCCACATGGCAGTAATTTAAAAAAAAGTCCTTAAGATTCTGGAGAATGTAGCAACTTGGATACAAAGTGGCAGGAAACAAAGGATCATTGTTAATGTTTGCTAACTGGAAGATTATATCCTGAGGGAGTAATTACAGAGTTTAAAACTAGGTTTTTATCAATGATTGGAACTTAAATGAGAAGTTTTCAGATTACACAAAAATTGGCCATTTGGTCAATAGTGAAGAGGATATCAGTAGACTGCAGTAAGGCCAGAAAAAGGGGCAAATGGAAGTCGACCTAGAGATGAGAGAAGTGATGCATTTGGCAGGGCAGGGGGCTCAACAAAGCAAGGGGATACATAATAAATGACAATAATATCGAGAGGTATAGAGGAAGTGAGGAACCTTGGCATAAACATCCACAGATCCCTGAAAGTAGGACAGAGTGATAAGGTGGTTAAGGTGGCATATGGAATTCTTTCCTTAAATAGCTGAGTATAAAATATAACAGCCAGGAGGTTGTGTTAGCTAGTTTTTAGGCCACAACTTGAGTATTGTGCAGTTCGGGTCACCTTAACAGAAAGTATGCAAGTGCACTAAAGAAGGCACAGAGGAGATTTACAAGGATTTTATCAGGACTGGAAAAATATAACCATGCGGGAAAGACTGGATACATTGAGGTTGTTATCCTTGGTACACAAAAGACTAAAGCGAGACTTAACTGAAATGCACAAAATTGTAAGAGGCCTGGATAGATAAGAAAGATGAGAGCCAGTGAAGGGGAGGTATCGATTTGAAGTTATCTTCCCTCCAGTCTTTCCACGAACGAGGAGATTTTTTTTACCCAGAGGACGATAGGGATCTGGGACTCACTGCCTGGCAGGCCTGCAGAGGTAGAAATCCTCAACACATTTAAAAGGTATCCAGATATGCACATTATGTGCCATAACCTACAGGGCTATGGACCAAATTCTGCAAAATGAGAGTCAGCTGGGTAGCTTGTTTCTCAGCTGGCACGCACATGCGTGCACACACACAGTTAGCTAAATGACCTCTTTCTGTACCATAGATTTCCTCTTACTCCAACCAATTATTATGCCTCACTAGTAAAGCTGGTATTATGGGTGTGTGTTCACAACAGTTTTGCCCAGATAAAGCATATTGATTAGTTTTTTTTTTAAAATATCAAGACCACAGTGTGTGTCAGGAGTCATTAGCATGGCAACAACTCTCTAGCTTCTCAGCAGGCACACAGCCTGTTTGTGAACAGACAGTAGAAAGTTTTCAGCTCTTTAAGAAAATACTCTCTTCCCTTGCAGACAGGTAACAAAGAATTGAAAAATAGCTGACTATTTTCATTCACTATTAATCAATAAATTATTGCCTCTAATCAGTGACAGAAACCATGAAATTTGTGTGTCAAATGTCTTGTCTGCAGTAAATAACTCAAAGGACTTGAAAAGGAGAACATCACACATCAGAAGAATTCAAGAAGACAAAGGAGATCTCATTGAATTCTGTGGACTGGTGCTATTGAGCTGTGTTCACCCAAAATAACTGCCTTTGCTGTTTGGTTTCAAGTATCTCTGGACATCAGAGGTTGTCTAAGAAAAATTAACAGCCAGCGAAGTTCATAGCTGACCTTGGAAGAACCTGTGTTGCAGAGCTCATAGCAGGGGAACAACTAAGCGGCTAGTTTTTAAGCTCAACCTTACGGTTTTTTGTAAGCCTACAATGAGTAGAGTAGGTTTATTTTGTTTGTAAGTTTTTATTGAGATCTCTGTCTTGATTAAAGCTTAAAAATGTAAAAACATAGGTACGAAGTTGGCCTGGAGCAATGTTTTTAGGGTAGTAAGACTGTGCTATTTTCTGGATCTGTAGATTGTTAAGGTGCAAAGATGGCCTTTAGTAGAGTAACGTGCTCTTCCTGTCATATGTGGGAGATTAGGGAGAGTTTCCATGTTACTGATGATTATGTCTGCGGAAGTGTGTTAGGTTGCAAATCCTATGGATCGGTTGGAGTGACAGTTAGAGGCAGTGAGGAATTTACAGGAGTTGGGGGTGTGATGGATGGCAATTACAGGAAGGGAGATAAACTGAAGATACAGTCAGGTATAGTAGGAACTGCAGATGCTGGAGAGCCTGAGATAACAAGGTGTAGAGCTGGATAAACACAGCAGGCCAAGCAGCATCAGAGGAGCAGGAAAGCTGACATTTCGGGCCTAAACCCTTCTTCAGAAACGGCTTCTGAAGAAGGGTCTAGGCCCGAGACGTCAGCCTTCCTGCTCGGCCTGTTGTGTTCATCCAGCTCTACACCTTGATACAGTCAGGTAGATGGGTTATCTCCAGGAAAGAGAGGCAGGTAGTGCAGGAGTCTCTTGTGGCAATCCCCATCTCAAACAAGTACGCTGTTTTGGAAAATGTAGGGGGTGATGGACTCTCAGGGGAATGTAACACTGACAGCCAGATTTCTGGTACCAAGACTGGCTCTAATATAACGAGGGGTTTGCCAGGTTCCAAGCGATCGATTGTGATAGGGAACTCTCCAGTCAACAGGCACAGACAGATGTTTCTGAAACTAACAGCGAGACATCAGAATGGTGCCCTGGCTCTCTGGTGCCTGAACCAAGGATAAATCGGACAGGGTGCAGAATATTCTCAAAGGTGAGGGGGACCAACAGGATGTCATTGTACACATTGGAACTAATGACACAGGATGAGAAAAGGATGAGATTCTGAGGAGAGAATATAGGAAGTTAGGCAAGAATTTAAAGAGAAGGTCCTCGAGGATAGTAATATCTGGATTACTCCTGGTGCCACGAGCTAGTGAGGGTTGGAATAGGAGGATAGAGCAGATGTATGCATGACTGAGGATCTGGTGCAGCGGAAGGAAGGAGGATTCCCATTTTGAATCGCCGGAATCTCTTCTGGGGGTAGAGGTGACTTGAATAAGAAGGACAGACTACACCTGAATTGGAAGGGGACTAATATACTGGCGGGGAGATTTGCTAGAGCTGCTTGGGAGGATTTAAACTAGTAAGGGCAAGGGCACCCAGGGAGATAGTGAGGAAAGAGATCTGTCTGAGACTGGTACAGTTGGGAAAAGGAGCAAGTCAAATAGTCAGGGCAGGCAGGTACAAGGCGTACAAGATAGGACTGATAAATTAAACTGCATTTATTTCAATGCAAGAGGCCTAACAGGTAAGGCAGATGAACTCAGGGCATGATTGGGAACATGGGACTGGGATACCATAACAATTACAGAGATGTGGCTCAGGGATGGACAGCACTGACAACTTAATGTTGCAGGGTATAGATGCTATAGGAAGGATAGAAAGGGAGACAGGAGAGGAGGGGGAGTGGCGTTTTTCATTAGGGATAACATTACAGCTGTTCTTAGGGAGAATATTCCTGGGAATATGTCCGGGAAAGTTATTTGGGTGGAACTGAGAAATAAGAAAGGGATGATTACTTTATCGGGATTGCACAATAGAGCCCCCCTGTCGTCAGCAGGAAATTGCAAAACAAATTTGTAAGGAGATCTCAGTTATCTGTAAGAATAGGGTGGTTTTATGGTAGGGAATTTTAAATTTTCCAAACAAAGATGGGGCTGCCATAGTATGAAGAGCTTGGATGGAGGGGAATTTGTTAAGTGTGTACAAGAAACTTTGAATGCAGTGCGTGGATGTACCTACTAAAGAAGGTGCAAAACTTGACCTGCTCGTGGGAAATAAGGCACAGCAGGTAACAGAGGTGTCAGTGCGGGAGCATTTTAGGGACCCGTGACCATAACTCTATTAGTTTTAAAATATGATAGAAAAGGATAGACCGGATCCAAAAGTCAAAGTTCTAAATTGGAAGAAGACCAATTTTGACAGTATTAGGTAAGAATTTTCAATGGTGGTGGGGGGAGGGTGGTGTTGGTGAATGTTGTGCAGGTATAGGGCTGGAAAATGGGAAGACTTCAAAAATGAGATAACAAGAGTCCAGAGACTGTTAAGGTGAAGGGCAAGGTTGGAAGGTGTAGCGAATGCTGGATGACTAGAGAAATTGAGGTTTTGGTCAAGCATAAGAAGGAAGTATATGTCAGGTATGGATAGCAGAAATCAAGTGGATCCCTAGAAAAGTACAAAGGCAGTAGGACTATACTTACGAGGAAAATCAAGAGGGCAAAAAGGGGACATAAGATAGCTTTGGCAAATAAGGTTAAGGAGAATCCAAAGAGATTCTACAAACACATTAAGGACAAAAGGGTAACTAGGGAGAGAATAGGGCCCTTTAAAGATCAGCAAGGCCGCCTATGTGTGGAACTGCAGAGAATGGGGGAAGATACTAAACAAGTGTTTTGCATCAATGCTTACTGTGGAGAAGAATATAGAAGATAGAGAACGTGGCAAAATAAATAGCGATATCTTGAAAAATGTCCATATTATAGAGGTGCCGGTGCTGGATGTTTGAAAACGCCAAACGTATAAAGGGGGATAAATCTCTGGGACCTGATCAGGTGTACCCTAGAATTCTGTGGGAAGCTAGGGAAGTGATTGCTGGGACCCTTGCTGAGATATCTGTATCATCAATAGCCACGGATGAGGTACCAGAAGGCTGAAGTTTGGCTAATGTGGTGCCACTATTTCAAAAAGGTGGTAGAGAAAAGCCAGGGGACTATAGAGCAGTGAGCCTGACATCGGTGATGGGCAAGTTGTTAGAGGGAATCCTGAGGGACAGGATTTACATGTATTTGGAAAGGCTAGGGCTGATTAGGGACAGTCAACATGGCTTTGTGTGTGGGAAATAGTGTCTCATTAACTTGAAGGAGTTTGTTTGAAATAACAAAGAGGATTGATGAGGGCAGAGTGGAGGATGTGATCTATATGGACTTCAGTAAGGCATTCAACAAGGTTCCTTTGGTAAACTGGTTAGTAAGGTTAGATCACACAGAATATAGGGAGAACTAGCTATTTGGATACAGAACTGGTCGAAGGCAGAAGACAGAGGGAGGTGGTGGAGAGTTCCTTTTCAGACTGGAGGTCTGTGATCAGTGGTGTGCCACACAGATCTGTGCTGGGTCCAGTGTTTTTAATCAATCATTTATATAAATGATTTGGATGTGATCATAGGAGGTACGGTTAGTAAGTTTGCAGATGACAACAAAATTGGAGTGTACTGGAGAGTGAAGGTTACCTCAGAGTACAATGGGCCAATGGGCTGAGGAGTGGTGGATGGAGTTTAATTTAGATAAATGGGAGGTGCTGCATTTTGGAAAGGTAAGTCAGGGCAGCTCTTATACACTTAACGGTAAGGTTCTGGGGATTGTTGCTAAACAAAGAGACCTTGGAGTGCAGGTTCACAGTTCGTGGAAAGTGGAGTCACAGGTAGATAGGATAGTGAAGGCAGCGTTTGGTATGCTTGCTTTTATTGGTCAGTGCATTGGCTAGAGGAGTTGGGAGATCATGTTGCAGCTGTACAGGGCATGATGAGCCTACTTTTAGAATATTGCATGCAATTCTGGTCTCCCTGCTTGAAGAAAGGCCTTGTGAATCTTGAAAAGGTTCAGAAAAGATTTACAAGGATGTTGCCAGCGTTGGAGGGTTTAAGCTATATAGAGATGCTGAATAGGATGGGGCTATTCTCCCTGGAACATCAGAGCTTGAGGGATGACCTTCATGAGGTCACAGATAGAGTGAATTGACAAGGTCTTTGGGACGTTTTTTTTGGGGGGGGGCGCGGTTAGTGTGGTTTCGTCCGAGACTAGATGGCATAGATTTAAACCTTTCCCCTCTCATCTTAAAACGGACCTGAGGGCAACTTTTTCACGAAGGGTGGTGTGTGTATGGAATGAGTTGCCTGAGGAAGTAGTGGAGGCTGGTACAATAACAACATTTAAAAAGCATGTGGATGGGCATATGAATGGGGAGAGTTTAGAGGGATATGGGCCAAATGTTGGCAAATGGGACTACATTAATCTGGTCGGCATGGACAAGTTGGACCGAAAGGTCAGTTTCTATGCTGTACAACACTGACTGTCTCTAATACCTTTTTCCCATCCATAACATTTTTGTTGTTTGGCCAAGTCTATCTGCATGTGTGTTGGGGTTTAAGGAGGAATAGAGATTAACTTAAGAACTATAAGTTGACTAGGTATATTTTGCTTGCCAGTGGTTAGAACTGACTTATTTGTAATAAACAGTAGTATCTTGTTAAGTACAGAAACTTGGTCAGTGTACTGTGTTAACACAAGTTAGTCAGGCAGGCAAACTGGGGAATTTGAGTAACTGGATTAAATCTTTAACTTTTGTGAATGCGTTGAAAGTATTGGTGCTCGAGTATCGAGTGAGTAGGGTGAAACAATCAACATCAGAAAAAGAGATTATTTACTTGTTGGAGCTTACAGCGTGCAAATGAACTGCTGTTGCTAACAGTCACTATATTTCAAAAACTGTAAAGCACTATGGGATTGTGGCCATCACAGATGCTACATAAATGCAAGTTTTTCATTTCAAGACATTCTAAATATTTAAACAATGGCTGAATGGAATGTTGTACCATCTCCTAACTATGTTTCCTTCAGGTTGTAAACACGCTTGCCAAGCCAGTGTGTTTGATTGCAGACGTTTTGTCATCCTGCTATGTAACATCATCAGTGCGCCTCTGGTAAAGTATTCGTGTTCTGTCCCGCTTGTTATTTATATGCCTCAGTTTGTTGGGGTGATTGGTACCAATTACAGTTCTGTTTTTCAGTGGTTTGTACACAGGGTCTAATTCAATGAGTTTGTTGGAGTTCCGGTTAGAATACTAGGCCTCCAGGAATTCCCTGGCGTGTCTCTGTTTGGCTTGTGTGATTATAGGTGTTGTCCCACTCGAATTTGTGTCCCTCACTGTCCGTGTGTAGTGAGACAAGTGAGAATTGTTGTGTCTTTTGGTGGCTAGTTGGTGTTCGTGTATCCTTATTGTCAGTCTTCTTCTGGTTTGGCTTTCAGTATGGGGTCCTTTACATTCGTCAGTAACTGTCATAGGGTGGTTGTTGGTTTGTGGGCTACCCTGATACATTGGGGTCTGTGTAGTCTTGTGATCATCTCTGAAATGTCCTTGATGTATGGTAGAGTGATTACTGAGTCTGGTCGTGTTGTGTCTTCCTGTTGTGGTCTGTCTCAGAGGTAATGGCGGATTGTGCTTTTTGGGTATCCATTCCTTTTGAAGACTCCGTACAGGTGCCCCTGTTCTGCTTTGTGTAGTTCCAGGTTGCTGCAATGTGTTGTGGCTCATTTAAATAGTGTCCTGATGCAGCTCCATTTCTGGGCATTGGGGGTAGTTGCTAGTGTATTGGAGTATCTGGTTCCTATGTGTGGTCTTTCTATATACGCTTGTCTGGAGTTCCCCGTTATTTTTGCATTCTACCATTATGGCCAGGAAGAGTAGTCGGTTGTTGTTCTCTTCCTCTTTTGTGAATTTTATCCCGGTGAGGATGTTGTTTATGTGTCACTGGGTTTCTTCTAGTTTTGTGCATTTGATAATCATGAAGGTGTCATCTACATATCGGACCCAAAGTTTGGTTGTACAGTGGGGAACGCTGCCTGTTCTAACCTTTGCATTACTGCTTATGCAATCAGGCCCGAAAGTCTCACTACACACAGACAAAGAGGGACACAAATTCGACTGGGACAATACATCCATAATTGCACAGGCCAAACAGAGGCACGCCAGGGAATTCCTGGAGGCCTGGTATTCTAACCGGAACTCATTCAACAAACACATTGAATTAGACCCTGTGTACAAACCACTGAGAAACAGAACCGGAAGTGGTACCAAACACCCCAACAAACTGAGGCATATAAATAACACGTGGGACAGAACACCGATGATGTTACCTAGCAGGGTGACGAAACGTTTGCAACCAAACCCACCAGCTCGGCGAGCAGGTCTACAAACTCACCGGCAACCCGAGCTACAAATCTTCTCGAAAACTATGTTGCTTTCCCCACCTACTGTGTAAGGACTTGCATTGCCAAACAGCACTACACACTTACTGCTGTAAAACATTTTTACTGTAATGTTCAGATAACATCACCTCACAAGAAAGAAAACAGACCTCACCTAGAGCTTGCCCTTACAGAAACCTTTAAACTTCCTTTCACAAATTCACGGATTATTTTAAAAACAATGAGAATTTTGATTTGCAATGAAGCAGTTAGAAATCAAACAAATTATTCTGCAGAAGTTCTTAAAACCAAAATGAAACATTACAGCTTAACAGGATTAGTTTCTGGAAAAGAAACACAATCCCTACATGACAACGTTCCAAGAAGCAATTTCTCCACTATTTTAATCTAAGTACATTATTCTTATAGGTTGAAGCAGCAACTGACTTCAAGTCACCATCTCCGGTAATCAAAAGACATTTTCAAAGTATGTTACCCAAACGTAGTTGAGGTACTTCAGACTGAAACTGGTCATATCTGTATGCATTGAAGAGAAGCAAGGATCTTTGCTAAGGTTAAGAAAGGGACTACTTGGACTCAGTAGATCAGAGCAATGTACTTTTACTTCAGGGTTTACATCAAGATAAGAACAAAACTAAAGTATTGATATGGTTCGTATTCCTATAATAATAGTCCTAGCTCAAATAAACCAAGGTGTCTAAACCAGTCCCTGGCAAAACAGGAGCTGTAATTGGAGCTATACTTTAGTAGACAATACCTCACTCAGAATAGTGATTTTTTAAAAACATTTTGAGATTAAGGTGCAGTATTACAATCAAAGAGAATTTTGTACCGCAGCTACTCTCTGTGTTCTTTGAGGCACTGTACGCAAGGCTCGCACAGATGCCTGAAATGGAATTGTTCCGACATGTATAAAAGTTCAGAAGTAGGTCTGCCAGAGAGCAAAAAGTGACTCACCTGTCAAGTGCTTGTCGAGCTAATTGCTTCAATTTACCCTGCAGTGTTTGATCAGAGGTCTCATTAGCCTAGGATGAAAGATACAGTATATATGCTTAACTCTTTACTACATTTGATCACACACATACACAACTTAACATGGACTTTCATGTTCCAATTTGGTCTATGATTCTATAGTTTACTCACTGTGTTCAGGCACAATTCAACAGCCTCAGTGTACAGTTCCACAGCCTCGTCAGCATTGCCCTTTTCATCCTCATCAAATGCTTGTGTGACCAGGAAGTGTGCACGTTCCAGATCCATCTGCTGCTTTGATTTCAGAGGGTGTCCTTTGTGGGCCTGTGCTTGAACTTTGCAAACATGGAAACATTTAGAGCTCTGAGCATCTTTTTTTCCAATTTTAGAATACATACACTTTCAAAACCTCATTGCAAAAATCTGCAGTTAAAAACCAAATGCCAAAACACATTTCGAGCTCCATAGTGCATGACTCTACTTATTTTGGTCAGCCATACTATAATATAACAGGTATAAGTGTAATCAGTTATTCATACTTTTAATGCAAGTTGTACCTACCTGCAGAGTAAAGAGCCTGCACACGGTCCATGTACTCAGTTATTTTCTCCTGAATACCATCCAACTTCGAGCCAGCCATGCCAGCGCATATTAATGCTTGAGCAGCTTCCTACAAAATACATACTGGTTTTAGTAGACACAGAAATTGACTCTTTCTCAATGCAAACTTCCAAAGAAAAATAAAACAATGACTGTATTTCTAAAATGCCATCCACAGCCATGAGATGCCCCAAAGTACTTTCGAAGACTTTTGCCTTAATAGGAAATGCAGCAGTGAATGTTTACACAACCTATTCCCACAAAAGAATAAGGTAATGAACAGATACATTGTGTTAGTGAAGGTCAATGCGTGTTAAACATCCGCCAGGGAGTCTGGGTGTTCTTTTCTGTTTGTCTTGGAATACTGTCATAAATCCAGACCCAGATCAATGTGGATGACTCTTAACAATCCTCTGCAATTGCCAAGCTACACACTTCGAAGGCAAGTTGGGATAGGTAACAAATGCTGGCCTAAAAAGATGGCAGGAAAGGCTTTTAGGAGTCAAGAAGTATGCTACTTGCTCCAGGATTCCCAACCTCCCACTCTTCAAGTCAAACATCAACAGTGGTAGTCCAAAATCTCTGGTCAATGCTGACGATGCAGGGGATGGTTGGCATGGATTTCATGGACTGGATTGAAATTTCCCAACTTGCAAATTGAAAATTTGAGGTTCTGTCTCTGGACAAATGACCCTGGTTTATCAGCACTAGGTTGCAGTATCCAATTGTATGTTTAAAGTGTTTGGACAGAATTTGAATCCTTATTTCAGACTCAAAGGTCAGGATGCTACCACTGTGTCAAGAGTAAAAGGTTACTTCCATGAAAATAGAAATGGAATCTGTATCGACATATCGTGTGTATCAATGACAGACCTGTTACCACCAGTGTTGGTTTCTAGCATCAGGCAATTGTCAAATGTAATTACAAGGGGATAAAGCTTCTGACTACTGGTACAAACAATCAGAATAATTGGGCTGGCACCAAAATTATTTTAGAAAATGATCATCACTACAACCTCTTCCCCTTTGTCAAACAGCAAATTTGCAACAAAAGGGCAGCAACAGGCATCCCCCTCCTTCCACCGAGGGGAGGTAGCAGAAAGCCCTCCGGCACCCCGTTGCCACCAAGAGTAGTTAACAGGCAGTCCCAAGCCCCCCTCCTCCCCCACCACCCATGAGGGGAGGTGACAGACATCCCCACACATTTTCTCCTCCACCCTGGGGTGACGGACATCCCCACACTCCCTCCCTGCCTGCCTGCCTGCCTGCCTGCCTGCCTCCCTCTCTCTCTCTCTCTCTCTCTCCACCCCCCCAGGATCACCTTGTAGTAAAAGACAGCCTCGTTGAAGCGGCCGCTCTGATCGTTCCTCACCGCCACCTGGGCGAACTTGACGGCGTCCTGCTCCAAGGCGCTGGGGTCCATGGTGACCACGATGGTAGTTCAGCCACCCCCTTTAACCCGGGGAACACTGTGAGAGAGCGAGACACCAAGCGCTCACCAGCACCGGCTCGGCCCCGCCCCGCTGGGGGTCACAGCAACTACTTCCAGTTCCGGTTGACTCCTGACGGAGTGGTGTGGGGGTGGGGGCTGAGACTTTCCCCGTTGGCTGATGGAAGGTGTCAAGGCTACTCCCATATTAGGAATGAAAAATATTTACTATTTTAAATGAAGGGAACAGTCGACGAAATGAAACCGAAATTAGGGCATGAAATCCAACTAGGTTCACGTTAGTAGGGGATCTTGCGGTGCAGTGGTACTGTCCCAACCACTGGGTCAGGAGGTTCAAATCCAACCTACTCCAGAGGTGTGAAGCGACATCTCTGAACAAGCTGATCAGAAAATACCCAAATGGAGTTGTTTAAAGAAAAAAAGCATGTGGGGCTTTTTTTTCCCCCGGGGTGGGGGAGTCCGAAACTGGACAGCATAGGTTTAAGGTGAGAGGGGAAAGATTTAAAAGGGACCTGAGGGATAGTCTTTTTACACAGAGGATGATGCAAGTATGGAATGAAATGCCAGAGTAAGTGGTGGAGGCTGGTACAATCACAACATTTGAAAAGCATCTGGACGAGTACATGAATAGGAAGGGTTTAGATATGGGCCAAATACTGACAAATGGGACTAGATTTATTTAGGACATCTGGTCGGCATAGACGAGTTGGACCGAAGAGTCTGTTTCTGCGCTGTACAACTCTATGACCCTAGACGAGGTTGGTACCAGAGCCAGGTGCAGTACTGATTGCTGCGCAGTCCAAGGTGCCATCAAGTGTTTGGATATGTTTAAGACAATCTGTTCAGATGTATCATGACACACCCCTAGGAAAGGAATGATTATGTTCTCAGGTTTTCTGGCTCAGATGTTGGAACACGAGTCTACGCATACAATCACTGTCCCACAAGAGCCCTCCCAGCCATTCTGTAAGATTTTAAACTAAAGCACAGCCTGCCTGTCCATTCAATTGTTATGCATTCTGGCAGGAGTCATTCCTGGATCCTGAGTCTTATGACGTTTTGATCAAGTGGTGCAAACCTACTATCTCTGGTGCATGATTGTGTTACCTTGTCACACGATTGACTTCTTTGGATGTTATTGTATTTACCTTACAGCAGTTGGGTCCCATGCTGCGCTTTTGTTCAAGCAGCTGTTGTATAAGTAATTGTGAGCAGCAGGATGCCAGTCAACAGAAAAGAATGGAAACAACTGAGGGTGGCAAACCAGAAATGTGCTGATGTTTAACTCCACCCCTAATTTATGTTAACTGACTGAAACCAGTTGTAATGCAGATTTCTCATATACAACAGTAATACCATAATCTGGCAATAGGCTATTTGTAATATGTGTAAGCCCTAATTCCCTCTGTCTAACTATAAACTGCTTATATTTACTCTGAAATCCCCGTCCTAATGGAACATATGCTGAACTCCTATTTCTTTTGTTTCTTATGTACCGCATTAGCTATGAATGGTGAAAGATGTTGCAGTTTAATAACTCACAGTTCAAGAATCTTCCTCCTGTCTTCCCCTTGTTTTTACAGTTGAGAATCTTTGGATTCTGTTCCCTATTTCCAGAAAAAACTGCATAATTTTCAAAAGTGGAAATTTCTTTTTAGTTTCTTTTAACAGTAAAGGCAAGGTAAAAGCACCACAATCCTACTGGACCACAGGGTTGCTCTCTTACTAGAGACAGACTCTCATAAGAGGGAGAGAGAGAGATAGAGACATTTAAAATGAGAGTCATTACACCGCAGATGAGCGGACAGGTTGAGAAGGTGAGTCCTTCATGATAACCTGAGCTGGGATGGGAATTGAGCCCATGCTGTTGGCATCTCTCTATATTGCAAACCAACTGTTGAATAAACTAAGTGAACTGACCCATTCTTCAACAGTAAGGTCTCCAGATTTCACCTATCCTTGCATTGATTGCTCCTCTTTCAGTGCTTCTCCCACTGAACTTGTTTCTGCAACTCATAGTTTTGCAGAAAGTTTTACTGCCTGGCTCCAC